GCATGCCCAAGATCCCAAGAGGGGGATTGCGGCATGGCAATCCCCGCTGGGGGGTGATTTCTTGCTTTCTGTCTCTCTGTCTCTCTCTGGCAAGTGCACGCGCCCTATAGCAAAAACCTCTAAAATAAAAAATGAGGTATTTAAAGTATGGGAACAATAATCATAAAACATGATGTCTGTTTTGTTTGATCAGGTATAAACAGTCACAGTCCTCAGGCCGAGGAAGTCCATCTGTCTGGTGCATTTTCTTCTTAGATCTTGATTACCAGGTAGGGCCTTTTGAATGAGGGGGATTTCAGCAAGCTTGATAACTTCAGCCCCAGGCCAGCTTGATAACTTCAGCCCCAGGCCGGGGTGGCAGCCTAGATAGAAATCTTATCTGGTTAAGTAAAGACATGGTTAATATATTCTAAAGTGGAATATCTATATTATCTCTAGGGTAATCTATAACTAAGGGGGTGATCCTATTGTCCATATGGGAAAGGAATGTGGTCTTGTAAGCAGCTTAACAACTGACCTAAAGGTTATTGTGTACTTGTGACCATCTACGTGCTGTTCTATATAATGACTATGGCTCAGGGGAGCGGCAGTTTTTTCTTGTCCTGAGATCAAAGGTGACTCATGGTCTTTGTTTGGGGTATCAGTACCTCGGGGGTGAGCCCCTAAGCCCTTCTCAGCTACTGAGGTCATTTCACCAATTTAGTAGTTTTCCATTAACCCAAACCTTTCTAACACTATCGATGTAGTCCCCAGGCGGAGAAGTGAATGCAGCATTTTTTATCGATATTTTCCAGGCAGGTGGGGTGAGCCTCATGAAATAATTCCTGTTCGCTGCTGCCGTAGGGGTCCGTATTCTTTCAGGATTAATTGGTTTATTGTAAAAGTTACAGTAAGGCTGGGGTGTTATTTTACACTTACGGGTACCAGGGTACCGTAACGACAGTAAAACCCATGGCAGAGAGATTGAAAGCAAAAACAGTACAAACCAGTACAACAAACACAGCTGAAAGCTTGAGCTCATAGCTGTGGCCTTACCTGCAGCTCTTCTCACCTAAGCCTAGCTTAGACATGAGAGGCAGCTCTTTAGCCTCTGCCTGTGTTGGTTGCATGGCCTCCACCAAGAAAAACAATGCAAGTAGAAGATACTATGATTTTGAACTATTTAAGCTTTAAAACAAACAGCAAACTGGAGGAGTCTAACCCGGCGAGGCCCCAGGATTTGTCTGAGCCTCCAGACCTTTGAGCTTTGCTTCTGGTTGGATTAACACGTGGGCAAGACTACTGTTGTGCGCCCCCCCCACACCTTGGAACAAAGCTTGGGTCAATTAGCATGTCAGCAAGGCTGTTTGCTATTTGCTCTAGAAACTGTGGCAGCCTTACTGGGAAGCGACCCCCCTCTCACTCCCCAATTTATTACTATAAAAGAATTGCATAGCTCTCTTATACATTTTGAGTATACGATAAAATTTTTTAGGAAGTCTTCTCACTGACTGCTCCCCTTTACTCTGATTACTTACTATTAATTACAATGCTTTATTTTTGTGGTCACAATAGAGGGTGGGCTGAAGTTTTTTCTAGGCAGAAGTAATCTTGACCTTTGAAAGGCCCTTTAAATACATTTAAGGTAAACTTAATCCTTTCTTTACCTAAAATAAGATTAGGCCAAAACTGGCCCATGACACTTTTGCCCTCTCCAAGTAAAATAGATAAATATATTAAGATTCTTCAAATTAAGTTATAGATCCCTACAAAACTATATAAGTATCATTCTTTATTAAAATCCATAAAAACTAATATCTATTCTTGAGATTTTCTTTTCTCAGCACCATTCCCAGTAATCACAAAATGGCTGCTACGCCGCATCAGCTGATAATCATCTCTGCTTTCCAGAACCGCTTTTTCAAAACTGCATTCCATGGAGACCCACCTACTATTGAGAAACTGCACTAGACCCACCCTTAATCCACCCTTGAATAGGAACTGCACTAGACCCACCCTTAATCAAACCCTGAATAGAATCTATGTTTTTTATTGTTAAAAACTTTATGAGCTGTTAATTAAAACACTTGCCCCTCTCCCATTTACTTGTAACACATTTTCAATAAAAAGGCACGATAATTCCTAACAGTTGTCACTCCTCAGAGAGCGATCTCTGAGGGGTGTCCGGCATAGGACGTGCATGAAAAGGAATCGAGGCCTCTGTCTTCTGTTCACCTTCGCCGCCTTCGTCAAGATAACCCACCCACGCCGAGGCTGGTCCCCGGCAGCAAACAATGAACTTTTTCCCCTCAGAAAGATAAAATAGCAGAATTCACTTTCAGGTTTACAAAGAAACAGGTCCACTGAGCATCCTCTGCAAACATTAAATAATGATCACATAATGTCAAAAGCGAAAACCCCTAATTATTTATTGAACTGGAACCCATCCATGCTCACAAGAAGCCTTTTAAATAAGATTCTCAAAGAACATCTTATAAATGCTCTCTCAGTATCATTTAACTTCCTTTGAAAAGGTAGTTTTTTCATCTCCATTTCAGAGTTAGGAGTTAACAGAAAGTTTAAACAAATTATATAAAATTATATTAAAAGCCTGATAATGATAGAGACCAAGGTTTGTTATCCCTTGAGAACCGAAAGTCTTTGAAAAATTAACCAACATGCATAATTATTTTAGAAGGGTGTTTCACAAAAATACAGTATTTTATCTGGACATCATGGTCTAGAAATAGAAGTCACAAAATAATAACTGTGCTAAATAATTTTTTTTTTAAATCAGTGTGGTTTCCAGAATCCTTTCTATTTGTTGTACCCACCATGTGGCTAGAGATTTGAAATGCTATTGAAGTCTCATTTTCCTTCAGAAGCTACCCTCTGGAAGAAAATGCTGTTAAGGAGGAAAAATCTTTTCTGTCATTTGACTTCTAACTTATGATAAATTAGCTTCAACTAGTTTCTTAGAAAATTGCCCAAGAAATGATTTCAGAAAATTAAATACCATGACTTCAAAGAGTCAAACACACATCCTTCAAATTCCGACCTCAGAGAATAATCCTTCCTTCCTCATGCTTTGGAGAGATGTGAGTAAAGAAATCGTACTAGGGCATGGCAATGAACCATCTTCCAAATGACTTCCTATCAATCTTCTTTTCAAAGGGTAATAAAGTGATGATTATTTCCGGGCAGTTTCTGAGAAGTTATCATCTCATTTCAATAGTCACCAGTAAAGGACTGCACTCTGGGTTACCGATGGTGATAAGGGCAAGAACTGGTTGAGAATTCAACAGACCAAGTGTAGGTTGTTAAACACTATTTTCTAGAAAATTAAAACAAAAATCAAAAGAATTGTGTTGGGTCTAACAGAATTAGTAATCATTTTCTTTTAGATTAAAAATGCAAATATGATTTATTACTTATTGAATGAAATCTTCTGTCATTTGAGAGTTTTATTATTTCTTTCAACAAATATTGTTGAAAGTCTTTTATATGCCATGCTTTGCATGAGATATTGGTGACTGATTGAGAAGAACAAGACCTGACAAGGAGGTCTGTGTCACCAACCAGAGTGGTTGGTCTCATCTAAAACAATAGTAACCACCACCACCACAATTTTTTTTAAAGCATTGACAAAATTGTTGTTGGGAAGTCTTAGTCATTTGGTACGTATTTTGTAAAACCACAGAAAATAACAACAGGGCAAGAAATGCCCAAAACTAAGTGATTTCATTTCCTGGAGCTGTAAGAAGCTTGAAGATAGCACATGTTAAGGACCAGCAGTTAGCATAATGGCTATGTCGCTGAACTCCCATGTAGCCGACTGCAGTTTGAGTCCCGGATCTGGTGGCTTAAACTCATGCAGGGCGCGTGTGCGTGCTTGTGTGCCCAAGATCCCGAGAGGAGAATGGAGGAGAAGGGATTGTGGTGTGGCCATCCCCTCTTGAGGGTGATTTCTCGCTTTCTATCTCTCTGTCTCTCTCTGTCTTTCCGGTGAGCGCATGCACCCTATAGCAAAACCCTCTCCAAAAAAAAAGAAAAAAGAAAAATAAGATAGCACATGTTAGACGGCACTATGGGAATGTACAGCCTCCTGGGAAGAAACTCATAGGCACTGGATGCCTTCAGGAGAGGACTCCCTGGAACCTGGCTGCGTCTCTGCTCCCCAGATTTGGGGGCATGTTTTCAATCTGAAACCACATCTTCTCTCATAGGCCCTGACGTACAGTTATTTAGCCTCTAATATTATATATACAGCCTTGTAAAATAGTGTTTTTTACAGGCTGGCCTAAGTAAATTCTAACTGATAGTAAACCCTGAGCATAAGGCAAGGGAAACTCTTAGTAATTTCCGATTTTACATATCCTTGTTCTCTTGTTTGACAAAAAAGTAAAGAAAAGAAAATCAAAATGGATTCAGGGCATTTGTTTAGATTTCCTTTCTCCTTTGTTTCAGAGAAATCTGAAATTCTCAGCCATCATTATTCACTGACAATACCTCAAGCCAAGATTTCACCAGGGTACAAAGGGTTTAAGTTAGGCTGTGCAACAGTGTGCTCTGGTCTGTGCAAACACCCTCACTGCCTTGTCTTCCCTCTAGCTGCGATTCAAAGTCCTTTGCTGCTGGCAAAGAGAAAGTCAAATGACTTCGTTGTGTACATGTACAAACAAAAGTAAAATAAGTATGTGAGGTGATGACTGGCACTGGGGACAGGGTCTGCACACATAGTGAGAAAATAAATTAAATTTACCCCTGGGTCCTTTGTTCCCAGGGTTCCAAGTGGCCAGTGAAAGCAATGAGGTATAAAGAAGCAGTATTCCCAGCTCACTCGCCCAAGTATCTGCACGTGGAACTGGAGAACGGCAAATGTGTGCAAAGTGCCCTGTACACAGGTTAATGTCCAGAAAAACCATTTATCATATACCAATGAGATCACTGGAGAGGAGATGTGAGGCTCAAAAAGTGTGTCCCAAGGAGGTCCACAGGGTAAGGCTGTCCTGATGGTGGCTCTGAGTAAGCAATGCTACGTCAATCAAAGTTACCATGGAGTTCTTGGCAGGAAGGACAGGGCCATGGTCTTCTTGCTCTTCCCTTCTTAGAGTAGTGTCTGATCTTCTGGGGGTTTTCCACCCATTTTCCTTGTTGGAGGTTCCTCAGCCGATTCTCTTTTGATTTCAAGTCCAAAGGTAGATTTTATTTTCCCGGGGGAATAGTCATTTCTCTTTAAATCTGCAAGGAAGGCAATTAAGGTGGTTATAGAGGACCCCAAGAACAGGCTGTTGACTTCAGGCTCTGCTGCCTGTTTAGAGAGGTCTCTGCTTTCTTAGACCATGGATATGTGGAACTCAACCCCCCCAACTATGTCTGTGCTAATATCATATTTTAATAATAACCAACATTTGTAGAACATATGCATACAGTTGTTAATCCAGTCATCATGTTGGTCTTTGTGAACCTGGTGTGAGTATCCTTATAGGTGAGAAAACCAAAGCTGAAAGTTTGGAACCTGATCTCAACCTGTCTGACTCTAAATCTTATGCCCTAATACTGTCCTAAACTGTCCTAAAAAAAAAATAATAAAATAAAAAAGTGCATCATAAATAATAAAGAAAAATCATCTCTAATCCTGTTTTCCAGGCTAAACTTTTTCTTTATTCAGATTACCCAATATCTGAGTGAATGAGGATATTTCTTGTTTCTACATTTAAAAATTAACAGGTTTTGAAAATAAACATGAATTAGGAGTAGATATGGGATAATTAATGAATGACACACTCAAAACTCACCAACTGCAGTGTAAAAAAATTAACTGAACCATAATCATATAGAATGGTTAACTGGGCTCAAAGACTGGATGTGGTGACATTGTGTGTCCCACATCACCCTGTCTCCTGGCTGTTCAGATGTAGTTGCTGTATCTTCAAGAACGGAGTCTTCCCTGCCCAGGGTCCAGTGACTCAGACATGGGAGAAGCCAGTGCTGGAGGACGCTGACTTAATGAATCAGATTCCAGTCTGCAGTCATAGGATAACTAAGATATTTGTAAGCTCTTACCTCCCAAAGGCCCTTACCTGGAGTCTTGAATGCCTTTTGGCCTAGCCCCAGCCCATTCCTGGGCTCCTTTTAACCAGAGCGGAGGCCAGTGGGCAGCTCAGGCCACTAGCCAATGTGCTGGGCTTGGATCTTTTCACCTGGGCTTGCATGTGCTCTGTGAGACTGAGCCCTGGGCAGCTATGAGGGTTATGGCCCTCCCCTTTGTGCTCCATTGTGACCTTTCCACCCCAAGTACTCACCAGCACCACCTCAGGGTAACACACTCCTTACACTGGAATTGGAAGCCTGCTGCAAATCCCATTCTTGTGCAATGCCTTGTCCACAAGGGCTCCCCCTACCTCTAACCCCAACAAGATTAGAAATTGTCCTTTGCTGTAAATTTACACCTGCGCCATCCCAGGTTACAACGGATGGTGCTCTTTAGCTGACTTCCAATTTAGAGTAAGATCATTTATTATAAGGCGAGAAAGGCTGCTCAGCTTAAAATACGTGAAATTCCATTGTAAGGACAGGCTTGGGATGACCTAAGGAAAATAGTGAGTTAGCTGAGACAGACATAAAGCACCCCTCCGAGACAAAAGAACAAAAATGCAACAGATTTGGAACTGACAATTTGGAGGGCACAGGCCTCCAGTTACTTGCCTTTTCTTTTTTTTTTTTTTTGAAATAATTATTTAATTTCATTTATCAGTATTACCTTTCCACTTTGACCAGTGAGAGACAGAGTGTGGGGTAGGGGGGAAGTGAGAAAGCAAGGCGCCAGGTCCAGGACCTGAACTGCAGCCTGCCATGTAGGAGTCCAGTGTCCAATCACCACCCCACCCGCAGGCCCTAGCCACTTGCTTTTATATTAGGAATATTTTCTGTGGTGACTAGTGATTTCAGAAAAAGTAGGCCATACTATCAAATCAGATTTTTTTAAATACTGGAATGTGTGTAAAGTGGCAGGTTTTTAATAAGTGAAAAGCACTACTTTGACAGCCACTGGGTCCCCCCAGTACCCCACTTCCCAAGTAGAATGAAACGGAAATGCTGAAATGAAATGCCAAGAACACCACCATGCAGTCATGGTTGGGAGCAGGCAGGACCCAGAAAGGAGGGCCGAGACCCACCTCAGTGTGATTGCACTCCATTTAAGTCAGTGGAACTTGCCCTTGGAGTGACTGCGACAAGTACTGGGCCCCATGTTTTATCACATTTTGGCAGAATCTAAAGTAAATTCCTGTCCCTTTAATCCCTTTACAGACTTAAAAATTTTGCAGTCAGAAAGTCAGCCTCTGCGAATGTGAATGAGATAAAAATGTGATTAAGATTTTCTAGTCCATCCCAGGTTACAATGAATGTCGTTCTATGAGAGATTTACTTAGAGAAAAACTAGAATTGTTTGTGGCATACCCAGGAGTTTGAGTTTCCGGCAGCAGGAGTTGCAACGATGTTTTGCAATGAAGTTTCTAATTGCCTCTTCCCCTAAATTGGCTGGTCCAAACACCATTCCTCTTGATCTAGAGGAAATATCAGAATATCAATTAGATCACAGCTAAGAAAAAGGAGCTCGACCAGGATTCTCTGAGATACCGAACAGTATCCCATAGTAACCCAGTAAACTTGAAGGAGCCAGCAGAGAACAGAGCACTTTGGGGAAGTGACAATGTTAGGTTTGCTGATTTAAAATTCAAATGCACTTAAATCTTTATCCCTAACTCCAAGACCTACTGTGAAACTCATTTCAACACTAATCTGATAGAAAAGTGAATTTCTCCATGCACTACATTAAAATAAAATACAGAGAAACCCTTCTTAATGCATAAGGGCTGAGAGAATGGCGTCCATTACAATGTTCTCCTAGAATCCAGAAAGGTCCGGGTACCATGTAAAATCGACCTGCTTACACCTTCTAAGACACACATAACACCGTTTCAAACCCAAATGCTCTTCTTAAAACAACCATCCTCCAAATCAAATACCTTATAGACCCTAGAGTCACTCCTTGTGGTTCTTTTGAAAGTCACTTTCTATGCTGCAAACCGCCATGGCGAGGCTCTTTGAGAAAAGACCAGACGACCATGAGACAACGTATTTGTGGAAGTCAACTACATATGCTTGATGTAGGTGACAAAAGTGACAAATACAGTCAGCACGTATAAGGCACATTTTGAATACTCTGTAATTAAAATAGATCCCTCCCAGATCCCAGGAGCAACGTTCACTCAGTCTCATGTCACATACAACCATGATTCTCTGGATTTTGACAATCTGTACCCCACAGAACACAGCACACCAGAAACACTGTTGAAGAAACTTTCTGAAAGCTAATATTTAATTTTAATGACATACAGAGTGGAAACAGCACATTTTAAAATCTGAAGTCAATTATCACTCTTAAATACCATATCCTAAGAAAAAAGAAAAGCAGAACCAGCAGATGGTATAATGGTTATACCGCTGGACTCCCACATAGTCAACTGTGGTTCAAGTCCCAGACCTGCTAGCTTAAAATTCACACACTTTGGGGAACCAGCAGTTAGCGTAATGGTTATGTTGCTGGACTCCCACGTAGTCGACCGCGGTTCGTGTCCCGGACCCTGTGGCTTAAAACTCATGCCGGGCGCGTGTGCGTGCGTGCCCAAGATCCCGAGAGGAGAATGGAGGAGAAGGGATTGCGGCGTGACCATCCCCCCGGGGGGTGATTTCTCGCTTTCTGTCTCTATGTCTCTCTCTGTCTGTCTGGCGAGCGCACGCGCCCTACAGTGAAAATCTCTCCAAAAAAAAAAAAAATTTCATACACTTTGTATTTAATTTAAACTTCAGCTTTGTCTTAGATCAGACAATCTGATACTTCATACTTAAGCTTGACTGTGTTAGCCTCTCACAGATTTGCTGAATAATATGCTTTATGCCCTCTGCTTTCAGTTTATAAGCATGTGATGGAAGATGCTGCCCAGGATCAGAAGCAATGTTATTGTGGGGACACCAAAGGAAACTGTGCTTTTCCCATGACATTTTCATGGGAAATGAAAGTTTTCAAAGCTTTACAGGCTAAACTTAGTGACGTTTCTCTTATGTTTGGAAGAGAAAACTCAGAGTCAAATATGCAACCAAATTCTAGCTATTACATTAATCTTTTTAATTTCCACTTATGTGTACTAACCCAATTCCAAAATTAATCTTATTTTAGTTCCATATTTTTTACTCTCACTCTCTAATCTATGCTTTTTAAAAAACATCTTATCGTTTTTGTACACACACACACAAACTTCCTCAAAATCTTTCTAAGATATGAGCTAGAAATATACATGCTTAAAAATTATATTTAAAACCATGTACAGGTCAAGCATCTATGGCACAGTCAGTAGCATAGTTACCATCAGTGCTGGAAGCCACATGGCCAACCTTGGGTTCAGATCCTCAGCCCCGTTGAGCTGAAACACCTTAGTGCATATGTGCATGAACAAGATCCTAATGAGCTGGAGGGCTGTGGTAAGGGGATCTTGGTGTGACCAGACCCTGTTGTGGGTGTTTCTCTTTCTCCCTCTCTGTTTCTCATGTCCTTGTACGTGAATGCACTCTCTATCACTCTATCATAAAGCTTAAAGTTTTGGTCATTTAAAAGAAAAACTTGCACAATGTATTAAATGCAATTTTCTAAATGATAACACAAATTAACTTACTGTTTGTCTTCAGGTTTTATAACAGATGGATCTGTCAAATTTTCTCCAACACCTCAAAAGAAAAAACAAAATTCACTTAGAAAATGGAGGATTAATTTTCTTAGAAATTCAAGAAAATAATCAAACTTTAATTCCTTTTTAAGAAAATTAAATTTAATCTGTAGTAAATTAAACATCATGCAAATTAAATAAACTATAAAAATTGCCCAGGATTGCTTCAAAATTTTAGTTAATGCACTGGGCCCCAGATCTCTCTCTGTTATAATAAACTTCCAATAAATTTCTCAGCCACAAATGAATGTTTTAGTGATATAGTCATAGCTACTGATAATGACATCTGTCACTCATTTTTCACTTGTATATAACAGACATTCTAATTTTATTTTTTCTAATTCTCAATAATCATAAAAGTATGATTCTCATATCCTCATTTTACATTTTATTCTCATTTACATCAATGAGTGCATTGATGTTCAAAGAGATAAAATAATTTTTCAGAGTTTGCATAGCCCATACAAACTCTGCTCCATCAAAGAGACACATCTAATCCTATATATAGCATTTTATAAACAGTAGACTAAAAATGGCACCAGGATTATCAGATACAACTACTTATATGTAGTTAAAAAGCACATATACATCCTTGAGCACATGACACAAATTTCGATCACAGTGACTTTGCCATCTGGACACTTCTTGTAATGTCCAATGACTGTCTATCTCAATTTTCCCCAGCCTCTAAACCTAGGTTTCAGCATACAATCCAAGAGATGAGAGTTAAGAATGTCAAAGAGTATAAGAAAAGGGTCCACATTGTTTAAGTGAACCATAAAATTGTTATGTACTCTGGGTATGCAACTCTGAAAGAAATAAAAGACGGTGCAGTGAAAAGAACATGGATAGTCAACCTAGCTTAAGTCTGCATCATAGCTCCTCCTTAAGTAGCTGTGCAACCTTGGGCAAGTTATTTAAACTTTCTGGGCCTAAATTCCCCACAATATCTATCTTGAGGTGCTGCTTCTGGCCTTAAATGAGATAAATCTCTTATTTAAAACCAAAGCCCCAGTCAGTGAGACCAAGGATAAACTTTGACCTTAATACGTATTTTGTTCTGTCCCTGCAAGGAAAGCCTGCTGGAGATACTCTGTTTTGTGTTGCTGGATTATAAGTCACATGTGAGGTGTTGATAGTGGGGAGATGTGCTGATTAAAGGCTTCCATTAAATAAGAGTGCACTGCGGAGCCTTGCTCAGGCTGAGTGTATACGTTCATGAACTGTCATATCAAGTAAAGAGAGCAAGCTAAATTATAAATTGCTAAAGCAATGAGCTCAAAATCATGAAAAATGCCTAGAATTTAAATTTTATGTGTATAAATGTATGCCTAAGTTTTATTGTGAACATAAAAACAAAGTAAAGCTATAAAACTAGAAAATTTAATAAAAAAGCATTCTTTATTTAGTAAAAAATGCTAAATGTCTTTAAATTCTAAGAAACTAATCATCCAGCTACATTTTTTTCTCTATGTAGCAGAAAACATAGTAGGTACACATGATCATCACTACAATGTTTCTGGAATAAATGTCTCCTCCTCTCTTTCAAGTTAAACAGAGCAACTCTGTACATTGCCTATCCTGGTTCTTGCAAGATCTTTTTGAATTCTGCTTCATGCTTACTATACGAAGTCCTGCATCATCAGTTACCTTGTAAATCTAAAACCAGCAGCTCTCCCCGAGTATACTCATAGGTCCAGTGAGAGAAAGCCAACATTAACTCCTCCAGGGTGTTGCTGGGGATGATTTCATCACCATTGTTGTTGTTGTACTTCCGGAACTCCCCTGTCATATACTTCTCAATGGTCAACCATTGATTGGCTGAATGGCAGTATATTAAGAAAACTTCCAAGAATCTGTGAGGGAAAAAGGGGCCATTGATCTACCATAAGATAGCAAAAGTGGGACTTACCTTACTGAACAGTTAGCAGCAGTAACTTTTGTCTGATACAGCCTTAATGTACGCACCCTTGTCCTTGTGATGAAAGGATGGAATTTAAAGACTGGGAACCTCTTTTTTTCTTTTCATACTACCTACTCCTCTTCTCTTTGAAAAAACTGTCCAACTTTTTTGCAAGTACTGAACCTAATTTTTTTTTGCCATTCTCTATAAAGTTCCTTGTAAATGAAACAATGAAGCTTTACTGTGAGTCTTCAGCATCAAATTATGATCTGTCCTGATAAACAAATATAAGTATGTGGACACACTCGGGTGAAAGGAACAAGAGTTTATTCTTACAAAGTTCCTAATTTCTTTAAGATCTTGATAAAAGAAACTATGTTTAACATAGAAATGTTTTTCTATCATAACGCTGCTGGACGTTAGTGGCTACACCCAGGATCTGCCTGTTTCATATCATTGAAATGTTGGTCATGGCCTCTCCTGAAATTCTTTTTCTAGTCATGTAAGTTCAATGATTCTTAAGATAAGGTGTCCCTGGGATAACTAATTCTTTTTGCAAGTCTCTAAAACTATGGAAGGAAGAACATAAAATTAAGGTTATGGGAACTGTCCCATGGGTCTGATATTTCTCACGACTAATGGGCTGAGAAGAAGTTGATAGAAATTCTTACTTAAAATGAAGGCCAAGATTCCCTTACCTTGGTGTATAGGGAATGGTCTGTGGTTTCACTTGGTTGAAGGTATACATCAGTTTTTGAGCAGCTCTTTGTTGTTGTATTTCCTACAAAATAGAAAGCATTAAAATGTTTTTGTTTTACTATCACACACCCATGATTAATGATCAGAGAATTACAGGAGGCTGCCCACATGTGATTTTTTTTTTAGCCTTATTCAGCTCCTACCATTCCTTGTCCCCAAAGCAATAGCCCTACATAACAAAAATCACCACCTCCAAATATTCTCCCATTTCAGTTGAAGATAATGGCTTTAGATAAAAATGTAGCCAAATCTCTTTTCTTTGATTCTGTCCATCTGGGCTCTGGGTCTCTGAGTTTCAGACTTACCCTGAGGCAAAGATGAAGCACAGTACTCTCCTGAAAGATCTTATGCCACGTCTGCACAACCTCAGGAAGAAAGGACTTCACAATGAAAACCTGTCCTGGCTTGAGAACATCATCTTCAGACCAAGTGCAGATAACTCTCATGGCTTTGCGGAGGCCCCCATCCAGCTCCTCTTGGGACAACACCTGGATCATCGCAGCTCTCCCATGCTGGGACCAAGAGGACATGCTTTTATCAAGTTTCAAAGGGGAGCTCTCCTCCAGCCTATAGACAGTTACTGTTTCTCCTGCTGCAAAAAAGAAGTGACAGTGGGAAGTTCATTGAGCTCATCAGGTCTGTGATGCAGATAATTTCCTAACTATCAACTCAGGATCAGTGTAGATAATTTCCTAACTATCAACTCAGGATCAGTTCAGTTGCCCAAAAGATGAGAGAAAAGTAAAATCAAGTAGGGAAGAATAAAAACATGAATCTGGCCATTTTTCCAAGTTATTTTTTACCTAGTAAGTGGGGAGGGGAAGAAAGGATGAAGTATGAGATAACATATAAGAACTGAACTGTTCTTACTGTAGACTGTAACTGAACAAAACCAAAAATCAAAGTAGGAAGAATATGCTTCTTCTGTCAGACAAATAATTCTAAAAAGACAGTTTAAATTAGCATTATTATCACCCCCTAATAAGCTTCATAGACCTTTTTAAATTGTTCTTTCTATGAAATATCAATAATAAAAATATGCTATTTATGTGTATCTGTACTTTATACATTTAAAAAAGGGAATATCTGTTCCCTTGTGGGGGGAGTGACATTATTCCTTTGAGAATGCATGGCTAAATCTAGTTGGAGGCAGAAAGTTCCAAGGTCATCCCAGAGCCTCTCGCTTCTTTCTTTGTGCCTTTGAACAAGTTTACTTAAAGCCTTGATTTTCTCGACAGTAAAATAGAGAGGAAATAATGTTGATTTCATTAGGTTGTTTTAAAGATTAAATATGTCCTCAGAGCTAAAGTGAACTAGACACAAATCCAAATCTACTTGAAGGATTTTAGACACAGAGTGCAACCTAACAAACAGCTACAGGGCTTGCATTTTTAGGATATGGAGAGAATTCTTATTGAGCCTAGACTTCACCAATATGTTGTTTAATACTTCATAACTGAAGTAGAATTCTCTTCTGTCAAGTCTGTGTTTTATTTTCTCCTTATAGCTTTACTTGAAATGTTTCTGTTTTGTTTTGTTTGTGAACTTTGTATTGATTTACCAAGAAAGGAACCTGTTCCCTCACTCTTACAGTTTATTTCTTACTTATAAACACATTTAGGTAATGTTTGGTAACTATTTTTAAAAAATTATCATTGGTGCCAAGATACATGCCCCTGAAAATCTCTTTGGAGTTCTAAATCCCTGGAAAATTTAGAGAATTACCGGTTTGCAAAACTAGCCAGGGAGCCAAGTGGAAGGAGAAGGCATATGTATTAACAATTTGAAACCAATCTGGTGTGTCCGTGTGAACACTGTGAGAATGAACATCAGTGTTGGTGTAGGGACCCTTGTTATACTGGCAATTGGCTCATGCTTTATCTTTCTAAAAAGAGAAACCCTGGTAACCTTGGCTAATGCCAGCTCCTCTAGCTCTTAAAAATTATATTTGCAAGGGCCAGCAGATGGCGTAATGGTTATGTCACTGGACTCCCATGTAGTTGCCCACGGTTGGAGTCCCAGAAGGTTGGAACTCAGGCCTGATGCATGTGTGTGCGTGCCCAATATCCCAAGAAGAGAATGGAAGAGAAGGGATTGCAGTGTGGCCATCATCCCTGGTGAGTGATTTCTTACTTTCTGTCTCTCTATCTCTCTCTGTCTTTAATAAGAACATACACCCTATAGCAAAAATATCTCTCTTAAAAAATGATATTTTCAGTCTGAGATAAGAGCAATTAGTGTGCACACAACAAAGCAAACAAATAAAAAGCAATATACAAAGCATTTCTCTTCAGATACCTGTTGACTTCCACCATATTGACATTTATCTCTCTCTTCTGAAGTTATTATATATGGTTGGCTTGTTCTTTTCTTGCCTACTTACTTCCAGCCCTGAGTCAGTGAATGCCAGGTGGAACATCATTGTTTTCTTCCCAACTGCTGCTCATGATAGGCCCCATCTCCATAGTACTAGATTTTGATCCTAAATACCAACGGTTAACAAGATTGTCCAGTTCAGAAAATAAATCTCAGACCAGCAGTTGGCTATGTCACTGGACTCCCATGTTGTCGATTGCGGTTCTAGTCCAAGACCTGGTGGCTTAAACTCATGCCAGGCACGTGTGCGTGCATGCCCAAAATCCTGAGAGGAGAATAGAGAAGGGATTGTGGTGTGGCCATGCCCTTTGGGGAGTGATTTCTCGCTTTCTGTCTCTGTCTCTCTCTGTCTTTCTGGCAAGCACATGCACCCCATAGCAAAAATCCTCTCAAAAAAAAAAAAAAAAACGAAAAAAAAAAAAAACAAGTGTCATTGAGCTACAATTATTAGCAGAACAAATCCTCAACTAAAATGATGCAATGTGTTTTCCCCTTAGATTTATTCAGGTGTTATCTCTCTGGCCTGGCATAGCCTCTAGAAAGCAGAAATTCCACTCACCAAACAGTTGGATTGGTGTAAATGGTATGATCTGAGAAAGCCTCATTAGATTTTTCCTTTCAAAGTCTGTAAACAAAAACAGATTTACTATTTTAAGTATGCATCAGTGGACTGAATTTACAGAAGGCCTTTCCACATTAATATATTCATATTTAATACCAAAAGATTTCATTTCAACCACCCTTAACATTTGCCATTATCAGAAATAATATTTATAATATAGTTTTGAAATAAACTATGCCTAAATAAGAAGAATATCTCAGTCTTTGGAATATTTTATATGAGATTTTATAACATGGTCTGAGGTAGGGCTAACACCTCCACTTTCCTGAATACCAAATTATATACTAATCTATACATATGTAGAACTTTCTGTTAAATGACATTTTAATCTGTGGTCTTTATTCTCTGGTTTTTCTTTTCCAAAGAAAATCTAATTTTGCACTGGACTGTGAGGACATCTACTGTTGACTTCACATAGTTTATTTACCATCTTATCTTGGAGAGAACTGAAGACCAATTTTAACTAGAAGGAAATGATCAGCATTTTCCTATTAAAATCCATATCCTAACAGATCAGAGGCAATGTGAGTTAGAGTATTCCCTACCACAGACTTACTTCAGTTGATGGCTGGAGTCAAAATAATAGATTACTGCTGAACTGAAAGACCCAGTTATAAGAGTGTGGAATGAAGAGTCTGGGATCCGCTGAAATACTATTCACTATGGAGAAGAATTCAGGATAAGGAAGTCTATTCTTGCACCCTGAAAATATGACCTTGATATAATAATAATAATGGTAATTATAATACCAATACGCTCTTACTCATGTACAGAGCTTTTGTTGTATAAAAGGCTTGTTCATGTATGATCTAACACAATGCTGAGTCCAATGTTCCTAAGCAACCACCCAATGGCCCAAACCCAGCTGGCTTTTATATTGCTCTGCATTTCAAAGAGTTTTCCTCTTAATTCTCAACGAAGCTTTTTGACAGACGGTTCCTCAGGGAGGGTAAGTACAGTTATCCCCATGCTAAAAGAGAGACAACTGAAGCACTGTGAAGTGATGTTGCTTGAGAGAGTCAAGACCCTTGACATCCTTGTTTAATAACATCTTCGTAAGGCATCTTTATTGAACTTTGTGAGGTTGGCATTCACATGGTGGTTATGTTCACTGAGGGTGCAGAAAGGGTACAAAAACCCTTCCTCAAAGAACTGCTTTCAGGATTTTCTTTTCCCCAGTATAAAACACTTGAGATCTCTGGCTTGGAGCTGACTTAGAGCTTGTAGGACATTTTTACATTTTGAGGCCATCTTTCTCCTTCAAAATTTGGAACTTGCCAATATACATTTTGTTTTGTTTTGTTTTAAATCCAAATTCTCTTAAATCCTAACAATTTGTTTACCTACTATCAATGGCAAGGTAAGAAATCTGAATGTTCTCGTCAGAGTGAACGATGACTTTTCACATGGGAAGCCATATCTGGAATGCGGAATTCATCAACGTCTCTGTTTACAAATGCAGAATCACAGACAGTTAGCTCAACTGACGTGTCCATGTGCATATGCATCCTACCTGAATAATGATGGTGAGCCTCTTGAGGGTTTTTTAAGGAGGTGGAGATCTCTGAAATTATAGAGAAGATTGGCATTTTAATTACTTGGCCAAAGACAAATACATGCTTATGAATATATTGCCTTCAAAGTTATTACTGAACAGGTTAATCAGAATGGCTTCTCAGTATTCAGAAAAGCTTGGCTAATATCCTTTAACCACATGATTGTGCTGGTATCCTGACAGCTTCCAATCATCAGTGTAATATCTCCAAACATATTTATGTAGGGAATTGAAGAAAGACAGGTAATATTAGCCTCAAAGATGTATTTCCTCTGAACCAATTACACCTCTGGGTTGCAGAAGGCACTCAGCTGCCCATCACACTTCATGACATCTCAGAAGCATGATTCTCTGAGCTCCCTACCAAGACACAGTACCCGTGGAAAGACATTATTAATACTAAGTTATTAGCAAACTACTTCACTGACCTAAAATAGCAACAAAATGATAAAAACACATCCAGAAGTATATACCAGAGAGAAAGGAGGGGTGAATAAAATGGCACCAAGGGGTTTGTTTGGTTACACATGACTATGTGTTGGGAACACCTCCCAGTTTAACTCATTCTCTTCTCTCTCCACAAGTCCTAAATTATAAGGCTCTAGAGAAATCCTTTGTAACAGTTTTGCCATTTCATAAAATCAAAATTAAAGTTGAGAACTTTAGTCTCATGGTGGCAACTGCCTTATACCTAGTCGAGTAAGCAGCATAATGAGCCCAATTTCACAGATCCCTCTGGCTTCTTATTGCTGAATAAAGGAACAAGCATCGCTTCCATTGGGGGTGCTTTGTAACAAGTGAGGTCAGCAGAAAAGACTCTTCATTTTGGAACTCATTCAGCAATCAAAAAAGTAAAAGTATGCATCTCTTACAATGGGCCAAGTTAGATATGATATGTGAATAAGAGGTGGTTCTCACCCTAGAGAAAAGTCAAAATATACACTTGGAGAGAAAGCCATGCAACTATAATCACAATACAGTTTGCTAAGTAATATAACAGAGGTATATTCAAAGGCTTATGGAACATATAATTCCACCAGGAAGGTAAGACCTTCATTGAGAAACAGGGAAATACTTAAAGGTAATAATGCACATCTGAGTTTGACAAAGCTGGGCCTCAATCCTGACATCCCCATTTACAAAGCTGCGAGACTTTGTTCATATCAATTCAACCACATTTATGAACACCTACCATGTATCAGACACTAGTCTAGGCTAAAAAAACAAAACAAAACAAAACAAATAAGCAGTAATTAAAACATGAAGTCCCCAGCTACATAACAGCCCCAGCTCCATTTGGGACAAAAACCATAAAGGAAAAGACATCCACACACACTCTTGTGAATGATTCTTACTGAGCAATATGTGAAAAACTGACAGTTAACATATAAAATGGTAAGAGCTGTTTAAGAGTCAAATGAACTCATGGTTAAATTTCAATCACAGAATACACCAGAACATCATAGTCAAAAACAGGTTCTTGGGTCCAGTCAGGGGCTCAGCAGTAAAATGTGACCCTCGTGAGGCAATCTCATATGAGAAGGCTCCTAGTTCAAATACGGAGACTTTCCTGAACACATCAGGCATATGTGTCTATCTCACTCATAGAAGAAATACATAAACTTCAAACAAACAAATGGACAACAACAAAAATAAAACAGGTAACATAGAAAATTTTAAATGAGACATCAGTGGTCCTGATTTATTTAGATAAAGACATTGAACTTTCTCATTTTTTAAGGTTTTAGCCATAGGGTACATGAGCTCGCCAGAGAGAGACAGAGAGAGGAGGAAAGTGAGAAATCACCCTCCAGGGTGAAGGGCCATTGCAATCCCTTCTCCTCCATTCACTCAGGATCTGGGGCACGCGCGCGCACACACACACACACACACACACACACACACACACACCTGGCATGATTTTCAAGCCTCTGGGTCTGAGGTGCAGATCACGTTTTGGGAATCCATCACCTTGGCCACCATGCCACCTGTTGACCCAAAGTTTCTACTTTTTTTTACTGAACTTTCTACTTTCCATAGTAGGCAAAAAATCACACATACAATTTCAAGAACTATAAAAATCTCAGCAGGACAATGAACTCACCTCTGATAAGAGGAAAAAATAAAAATAAAACATTTACACATAAAACTTACTGTCAACTCCATTTGAACTTCTCAACCTGTTCGAAAACATGAAGTTGTTAAGACAATCTTGCTTTAAATGTTTCAACAATCAAAGGAAGGGAAAAATATGTGAAAGAGCAACAGCACAGAGTACATATCAGTCCCATCTGATCCCTATCTTTAACAATTAAGGAGAAAATTGGGACCAGTAGTTGGTGTAATGGCTATGTCACTGGACTCCCATGTAGTTGACTGCGGTTCAAATCCCAGACCTGGTGGCTTAAACTCAAGCTGGGCACGTGTGCCTGCATGCCCAAGATCCCTAGAGGAGAATGGAGGAGAAGGGATTGTGGTATGGCCATTGCTCCCAGGGGGGTGATTTCTTGCTTTCTGTCTCTCTGTCTCTCTCTGACTTTCTGGCAAGTGCATGTGCCCTATAGCAAAAAACCTCTCAAAAAAAATTAAGGAGAAAATAGAGAGGCAAGGCATTTATAGGACAAAGAAATGGATATTATCTATTAAAGATAGTGTATATAGTATTCTCAACTGGACTGTTGAGAAATGTATACATGTTGGAATATTCACTTTGCAAGCTAAGTAACATATGTGATTGAATGTATAAAAGAAATTGAAATAAGAAAATATATAAAAATAAACAACAGATATACATGGAAGTCATTTACTGTGTATGCCCTCAGCTAATTAAAGAGCAGTAGTTGGGTTTTTTTTTTGGTCTTTGTTGTTGTTTTTAATTAGCTATGTAATAACATAACATATATAAGATTTAACTGTGTTTTTGTTGTTCTGGATCAATTACAGAGCTCATGAACTATGCAAAGCAGATGCCTACAAATGAGTCTGTGAATGTCCCTGGACAAGCCTACAAATCAGTTTCATTAGCCCACATGGCCCCTAAATGTTCACGGGCTGAAATTAGCTCTCTTTAAATTGTTACTTGCCCTGCTCAAGTGCACAAGTGGCCATGGGCAAGTCTGAATAAATGCATTCAAAGAGTATCTCCAGTATTTACAGTCCTTAAGGAAGAAAGTACAATTACGATCATTGTTTAATTTCATGCTGCAATAACCCACTACTCTGCATGAGCACAAACTACTGAACTTCTGGGAGAAAAGAAAGCCATGTGCCCTTTAAGTCTGGAGGCAGGCTTGCACAGAGGCCATGATGGGAGCTCCAGAGGAAGGCCAGTTAGCTCTCTGTTAACTGCAAACTGAAAGTCACCTTCTATCTGCTTGGTATCAACTGGTCCTTCTCTAGAATAGATGGTCTTATGCCGGGATCCAGCTTCGGCGGGGGTGGGTTGACTCGTCGGAGGCAGCGCAGGTGAGCAGAATTAGACTAAAACATCAATACTTTTTAGCATGTTTTTAGCTGGTTGCAGTCAGAGCAAAAAAAAACTCCAGACCGCAGCCCCGTGGCTATGAAGACATGCGTATTTATTGAGGGATGTTTAGGAAGTAAGGAGGGTGAGGGGGTAATAAAAAATCTACTCTAAGGAACAGGGTATACAAAGCATGGAAACAATAATTATAAAACATGCTGTTTGTCTTGTCAGATTAGGTAGAAATCAATCGCAGTTTTTAGGATGAGGAAATCCATTTGTCTGTTGTATCTTCTTCTTAGATCTTGATTACTGGGAAGGGTCTTTTGAAGAGGGGTCTTGCAGAATGTTTGATAGCCTCAGTCCCAGGCCAGTTTGATAACTTTAGTCCCAGGCCAGGGTGGCAACATTGCTGATTAAAAAGACCTAGATAGAAATCTTGTCTTGTTAAGTAAAGACATAGTTAATATATGGACTATCTATATTACAACTAAAGAAGGTGGGCCTATTACCCGTATGGGAAAGGAAGATGATCTTGTAGCTCAGGAGACGACACAGGATGTTTTATTAGCAGTCTTTCATAGTCAACAGCACATAGATGAGAAACTCTTTGTAGTTGAAAACTACCTGTTGCTTTAGATAAGCGCTGGCAGCTAAGATAGTTAATCTTTCTCTGGAGCTCTCAGGTTTGTTCATCCTGTTGTCGCCAGTCAGGCTTTTTTTTTTCTTATAAACTCATGGGTTCCTGTATTTTATTTGCTGAGTCTGTCAATTAGTGAGTTCTTTTGTTTTATCTCTGGATCCCTGTTATGTGGTGAATGTGCTGACTTTGCCTAGCATGAGTTAACTTTGGCCTGTAGCTTTAACAAGGGCTATTTACATAAAACTAGCCTTAAACTAACTTAATCTACATATGTTACTAATGCTAATTTGGCTTATACTAATTTAATATTAAAATATGTTAATTTTGGCTAAAACAGACAGGTGGGGGAGTCTCAAACTTCCTGCCCTCCCGCCATCTTAGGAAACCACATTCCTACAAAGATCACTAATTGGCTTTATTGTAATGGTTGGGGGTGATATTTACCCTTGCAGGGTACCATGATAACAGTAAAACTCACAGCAGAGAAATCGACTACAGGCCAGTACAACGACACAAGGAGGGTTAGTAAACTGCCGTCCTTGTCTCGCAGCTTCTTCCCAGCCCAGGCCTTGCCTTTAGACATGGGAGACAGCCTCTTTACCAGCTTGTGTTGTCTGCATGGCCCCATCAGTCTTAACTCTATTTTCTTATATTTGTATGGATAGTAAATTTGATGCTATACCTAGAAAAGTCCAGAAAACACTAGGAATAAATATAACAACCTTTGCTTGATAAGTTTTCTAATTTATCTCTTTGCATAAATAAAATTGCAGGAGGATACTCAAGTCTATAGCCACATGAGTTTTCTAATCTTTGTTCTCTCCACCTTATCGTCCTTTTCCTCCCTGTCTCAATCCTTCCCTGAGTTACTGTTTTGACAATTAAAATGTTTTTAAGAAAACAAAATTTTAAAAAGATCAACCTCATAACTGAAAGGAAAATATTAGAGAGATTTATCTTTAAAACTGAAGAATAAACATCATCATTCTGAGTTTTTGTTTTGTTTTATTTTGGTTTTGAGTCATAAAGGCTTAGTTCTATTTTTTTAATGCAAATTCACAATCTTATTTAATGGGTCATTGAAAAAGTCATGACATAGTTTTCTGTTTTTTCTATGCAAAATTGCATCATGACTTTTCTTTTTTTTGGAGGTTTCTGCTATAGGGTGTGTGTGCTCGCCAGACAGACAGAGAGACAGAGATACAAAAAGCGAGAAATCGCCCCCCAGGGGGGATGGCCACACCGCAATCCCTTCTCCTCCATTCTCCTCTCGGGATCTTGGGCACACACGCACACGCACCCGGCGTGAGTTTAAGCCACCAGGTCCGGGACTCAAACCGCGGTCGACTACGTGGGAATCCAGCGACATAGCCATTACGCTAACTGCTGGTCCCGCATCATGACTTTTCTGATGACCCAATATATTAAACAATATGATAAGCATTACCCCATTTGTGATTCTGAGGGCCTGAAAAGTTAAATGTTTACTGTGCAGTAAGAGTATCTTGCATTACATTCTTAAAAACCAGTCAGGTGAGATGTTATTGCCAAAAATAGGAAAACTTCAAGAATAAATTATTCTCATTCTTGCTAACAAAGAAACAGACACTCATCATTAGATGCACTTTTTTTTTTTTTTTTTGAGAGAGGTTTTTGCTATAGGGCTCGTACACTCGCTAGAAACACAGAAACAGAAAACAAGAAATCACCCCCAAGAAGGATGGCCATGCCGCAATTCTTTCTCCTCCATTCTCCTCTCAGGATCTTGGGCACACATGCACAAGCACCCAGCATGAGTTTAAGTCGCCGAGTCTGGGACTCAAACCGCGGTCGACTACATGGGAGTCCAGTGACACAGCCATTACGCTAACTGCTGGTCCCAGATGGACTTTTTAAAAATCTTTTCTGACCAAATTAACCCTTTGTTTCTAATCAAATTAAAGGAAATAGAAGCTAAAGCTTTTTTTTTTTTGAATAATTTTTTTGAGAGGCTTTTGCTATAGGGCGCAAGAGCTTGCCAGTCAGACAAAGAGAGACAGAGACACAGAAAGTGAGAAATCACCCCCCAGGGGGGATGGCCATGCCACAATCCCTTCTCCTCCATTCTCCTCTCGGGATCTTGGGCACGCACGCACACGCACCCGGTGTGAGCTTTAAGCCACCGGGTCCGGGACGTGAACCGCGGTCGTCTACATGGGAGTCCAGTGACATACCATTATGCTAACTGCTGGTCCCCCAAAGTTTTTGATTTTTTTTTAGAGCAGTTTTTGCTATAGGGCATGTGCATCTGTCTGACAGACAAAGAGAAAGAAAGCAAGAAATATCCCCCCCCCCACCCCAGGGTGGATGGCTATGTTGTAATCCCTTCTCCTCCATTCTCCTCTCGGGATCTTGGGCACGCATGCACATGCACATGGCGTCAGTTTAAGCCACTGGGTCAGGGACTCGAATCTGGTCAACCATGTGGTAGTCCAGGGATGCAGCTATTACACCAGCTGCTGTTCCCATCAAATATTTTAGAAAAGAAGTATTTAGAAATACTCACAGCAAGTTCCTCTTCAGATCAGTGCTCCTGAAATTCCATAAAGAGTTTTCACTCATATCCTGAGCAGAAGGGAAAGGTTGTTACATGTGCATACAACATAGTCCCAAGCCCTAGCTTCCAGTAACATGTCTACAAAATACACTCCTTGAAAGATATTTCTTTTTCCTTCTTCTAGCTCAATATTTCTCTTTTAATAAACTTACTAAACCCAAGCAGGAAAGATACATATATTATCATAATACCAAAGTGAGTTGATATGTTGGTAGACTTAAACAAGATAAAATTATGGGGACACCAAAGAGAAAAACTAATATAAAAGTTTTTACAGAAATAGGACTGGATGGGACCGGCAGATGGCAGATGGCATGGTGGTTAAGGGCGCTGGACTCCCACATGGTTGACTGATCTGAGTCCTGTACCTGGCAGCTTGCTTTCTCACTATCTCTCTCTCTCTCCCCCCCCACCCCCACAATTAAACTAAAATGGATGAATCAATAAATAAAGTTAAATAAAAAATAATTCTTTAAAAAAAGAAATAGGGCATACAAAATTAGTCAAAGATATGAAAGATGGAATAAAAGTCTCTGTTGACAGACAATATTCATCATGACATCATCATATCCTTTCATCAATAGACTATCATTCCAGGTGATAATGATTTTTTTTTCTTAATTTTCTATAGGGTGTGTGCACTCACTAGAGACAGAGAGAAAGAGAGGGAAAGTGAGGAAGCACCCCCTCCCCAGATGGGATGACCATGATGCGATCCCTTCTCCTCCACTCTTCTCTCAAGATTTTGAGCATGTACACACAGGTGCCTGGCATGTTTTTCAAGCCCCGGTGTCAGGAATTTGAACCATGTTGTCAGTCATGTGAGTTTCAGCCACCTTAATCACCACTCCAATGGCTAGCTCTGATGACAACTATATAAATAACATTACCTTGAATTTACTCCTTATATTTCTTATTTATTTCAACTAATATTTTTTTGAGACTTAGTCTACTTCTGGCATTACTCCAGGCATTTTCACAAATGTTATTTTTCTCATAGGCTATCGATTATCTCATGAGGATGGTATTAGACTAAATTTAGAGATATGCCTGAAGATGCTCATAATTAACTAATGTACAAAGCTTTGAAATGAACGATGTGGTAGAGCCAAGGTGTGTACACAGGTCCCTTCTAATTCCCCTCAAGTAATCTGACATTTTATTTTCAAAACCTTTCTCAGAGTGTATATATACAAGAACATCTGAGGTTATTAGTATACGTTGATATGGGTGTTGCTCATAGTTCTCAAGGTTAAACCAACAATATTCATATCAAACCTAAAACTAGGTTTCTTGGGTTACTCTAGCTAGGTCACATGGCAGATGGCACTAAAGCAAGGCATATATTTACAGATAGTAAGAAAAACAGACTGCAAATCAGAGAATTCAGCATTGGAGAAACACCGAGGGTCCTTTATACTGCGATGTTTGAGTCTCCTCCATCGGGGCTACATAGAGGTTTATTCAGACTATGTTTGCCCAACCACACTAGCAAGGAACTCACTACTTTCAGAAATAAACCATCTCATCCTCAGAAAACTCCAATGGCTAAAAATTTCTCCTCAGATTCGTCTGAAATCTGTCTTCCAGCAGTCTTTAGAGGTTGATTCTAGATTTACCTCTTAAAAGTGTATTGCAGATATTTTATTTCTCCTCTTGACAACTTTCATACAATTCCTGAATTCTTTCTTTCCAAATATAAACATACTCGGGATAAATTATTGGGTGAACAGGCAAACTACATAGAAAGAATAATGTGAGAGGATTAAAAAAAACAGCATGGGGACCATCAGGTGGCATGGACACTCCCACATGGCTGACCACAGGTTAAGGCGCTGGACACTCCCACATGGCTGACCACAGTTCAAGTCCTGGACCTGGTGGCTTGCTTTCTCACTTTCCTGTCTCTCTCTGTCTCTCTCTGGTCAAATTAAAATGAATAAATAAATAAATAAACAAATCTAAAACAAAACAAAAGAAAAAAACAACAGGGATACAACTGAACATGGATTCAAAACAAAGTTGAAAGCCAGTGTAGGTGATATTGAGGTTAAGGTATTAGATCCCACATGGCTAGCTTCAGGTTTAAGTCCTGAACCTGCTGGCTTAATAATCTTGCTGGGTATGTATGCCTACATACCTAAAATCCTGAGAGGAGGGTAGAGAGGAGAAGGGATTGAATGGCCATCCTTCCTGGGAGGGGATTTCTAACTTCCCCCCTCTCTCTCTGTGTGTCTCTTTCCTCTCTCTATCTCTCTGGTAAGTGCACACACCATATAGAAAAAAATAAAAAACAAAACCAAAATAAAGACAAAGTTTAATGATGATAAAAAGTAGAAGCCAATTAAGAGACACAAAGGTAAAACCAATGAAGTCAAGAGAGTGTTTTTCTAAAAAAATCAATACATTACAGAAACGATCGAACTGTTCACCAATGAATGAATGAATTTTTTAATGTGATATACAATGGAGTACTATTCAAATCTTTAAGAAATATCATTTGTGGATGAACCAAGAAGACATTATGTTAAGTAAAATAAGCCAAACACAGGGAAATGAATACTATATGGTCTCATTAATATGTAGAATCTAAAAACATTCAAACTCATGTAAGTAGAGAGTAGAAGGGTGGCGACTAGAGGCTGAAGAGGAGGGGGCTGAGTAGCCTTGGAAAGGGAAGACTTGGGTCAATGGGTACAAATCTACAGTTAGATAAGAGGAACACATTCTGGCGTTCTTTTTTTAAGAATTTTTATTTAACTCTATTTATTTTTCATTTGATTAGAGAGGGATAGAGTGAAAGAAGGAAAGAGAGTGAAAGAGAGAAAGAAAATGAGAAAGCAAGCCGCCAGTTCTGAAACTCAGATCACGGTTGGCCATGTGGGAGTATAGTGCCCTTAACCACCACGCCACCCGCTGGCCCCAACACATTCTGGTATTCTATTACACAGCACATTGACTATATAATAATATGTTATATATTCAAAATAATGTATTATATATATCTCAGAATAGGAAAGAAAAGATTTTAAATGTTCTCACCACAAAGAAATGATACATTTTTGCAGTGATGTATATGCTAATTAACTTTATTTGATCATTCCACAAGATAGACATGTATCAAAATATCACATTGCATACCATAAATATATATAATTATTATTTGTCAATTAAAAATAAAATAAATCTTCTTGGCGTCGGCAAGTGGCATGGTGATTAAGGACGCTGGACTCCCACACAGCTGACTATGGTTCAAGTCCCAGACCTGACAGCTTTCTTTCCTGCTTTTTTCTCTCTCTCACTCTGTCCCTCTCTGGTCAAATTACAATAAATAAATAAATAAAGTTAAATAAAATAATTCTTAAGAAAATAAATAAAATAAAGCATCTTAAATAACAAATATTAAACAAAGAAACAACTACCAATATATTTTTACCTCTTGAGGCTGCTCGAGGTAGTCACTGACTTGCATAGCATGTTGTTTAATCTCTTTAGTTTTCATTTTATGACATATATAAGGTTTTTGACCTCATAAAAAAGAAGAAAACACATAAAAATGTGTTATGTAAAAAAAAAAACAGCTCCCAAATAGAAAACTTGAAACAAAGTAGTCATTTAAATGTGAATATAATTTTTGAAGTGTTACCTCATTTCTATTTTCCAAGTTATTGAAAGCTATATATTCTATTTGTATCTTTCTATAGTTACTTTTACACTTTTAACAACTACATTTCTCCAAATAAAGAATTAAATTACCTATGTCCTTATGTAAAATCATTTTAGTAATTTTTTTATATTCACCTCCTGCATCCTATAACTCATGACTTGTTTAAACTATGTGAAAATGTGAAATTTAGTTCCAAATTGTTAGGAATCCTTCCTCAGCAACACATGAAACATATCATTTGGCTACGTACAAACAACAAAAAAGATAGAAAGGGGACCAGCAGGTGGTGTAATGGTTAGGGAAGTGGATTGCCACAGGGCTGACAGTCCCAGACCCAGCAGCTTGAAAATCAAGCTGGTGTGTGTGCACATGCATGCCCAAAATCCCAAGAAGAGAATGAGAAGGGACTGGAGCTGGCCATTCCCCAGGGGAAGGGGGAATTTCTCACTTTCCCTCTCACTGTCTCTCTCCAGCATGGGCCATGTGCCATATGTCAAAAATCTTAAAAAGAAAAAAGAAAACAATGCCAACAAACATGTCTAATTTTAGCCTTTTCTTAAAAAGGATGAGGATCATATTATCTTTTATGCCTAATATCTATATACTAACAGTATAAACCAGGTGCATAATAACCATTTAATAATACTTGATTGGATTAATTCTTTTTTTTTCTTTTTGAGTTTTTGCTATAGGGCGCATGTGCTCACCAGACAGACAGAGACAGACAGAGAGACAGAAAGCAAGAAATCACCCCCCAGGGGGCATGGCCACACCTCAATCCCTTCTCCTCCATTCTCCTCTAGGGATCTTGGGCATGCTCGTGCACATGCCCAGTGTGAGTTTAAGTCACCGAGTCCGGGACTTGAACCATGGTCGACTACGTGGGAGTCCAGCAACATATCCATTACACCAAGTGCTGGTCCCTTGGTTGGATTAATTCTGAAAATAGTATTTATTAAGAGTCCTAATGTAGGGGGCACAGTTTTATTTTTTTCCATAATGATTTTGTGCTGGAGGAAAGAAGCACACAAGAAGTGTAAAAAAAAAACTATTAAGATCAGTAGATGGGGTAATGGTTAGTCGCTGGACTCCTACATGGCTGAGCATGGTTCAAGTCTTAGATCTAGTGGCTTGAAACTCACACCTGGCACATGTGCATGCATTCCCAAAAGCCCAAGAGCAGAATAGAGGATAAGAGTGTGGCCATCCTCCCTGGGGAATGATTTCTCACATTCTGTCTCTCTGTCTCTATCTTTCCAGCAAAAAGCCCAAAAGAAAAAACCTCAAAAAAAAAAAAAAAAACCTGTTGAAAAATCATAAAACTTCATACATTATATCTATTATAATATTAGAATATCACAAAATTATGATATGTTTGTAATGCTAGTATAGTATAATATTAAATATAAGAAAAGTTAAATATATACTTTTTCTTTTCATAGTTAACTTTCTGAGAACTTTATATTTTGTGTTTAAACAGACCGACCTTCAAATTGTCATTTGTTCAGTTTTTTTCAAGTAATTCATTTTTGTTTTTAATTTGCCCTAGGTTATGTTCACTCACCAGAGAGAGAGAGGGAGAGACAGAGAGAGAGAGAAAGAAAAAGTGAGGAATTACCCCTCCCAGAGAAGATGACCTCTCCTTCATTTTATTCTCTTCTCAGGATTATGGGCATACACACATGCCGGGTGTGTTTTCCACTGGGTTGGGAACTCAAACTACAGTGTGGACCATGTACGATTTAGCCACTTAACCTCTAGGGCATCTGGTTGGCCCTTTCCAAGTAATTCTTAAAATTACTTAAATGTGGTTCAAGAAAGACACTGGGCCTCTTACACACTCTGATTAGCTAGACTTGGGTCAGTCTATTTCCCTAGCCTTGCCTGTAATTGATCGTCTCAATTAATGATATTCTTGCCCAGAACCCTCCTGCAACACGCATCTCGCCCTGTTTGAAATTCATTGTAAAGAGCTATGTAATTTAAGTGAGAATGATATATAATATATACCTAACCAGGGTGATACCTACACATATTTATAAATAAACGTAATACATAATACTATGGATCACTACCTGCTTGCATCCAAAGAACTTGTGTTGGGATTCTGTCTCTGCCAGTGAGAAGCCATGTGCAAATCCCTTCATGTCTCTGAGCCCCATCACTGAAATACATGTAGCCAATAAGATGGCTGCCCTACGTACTTCCCAGGATGGAACGCATAGGGTAAATTGGTAAACTATAAATGTTACATAATAAAGACTCATGGCATTTATAAATAAGATAAATGTATTTATGATTGGCTTTAGAATCAGGTCTGTAAGTGGGATCTGGTTTACTGAAATTTATGTGCCCCAGAGCACTGTATGATTTAAGGCAAAACAATTAAGCTCTGGAACAGTATCTATAAACGACAAGGGGGATTCTGAATAACTTCATTTCTAATGTCTCTTTAAGTTTAGAGTGCAGTTGATTGTCAGTGATTTATCAGACAGTTGAGTATTTTTCTTTAACATAAATCAGGGTACCTCATTCAGCATTGATATTTTGGCTGGAGAACTTTTTGTCATAGAAGGCTGCCCCATGAATTATAAGATATTAGCAGCATCCTGGCCTCTAGTTACTCAGTGCCAAGAGCACTAACTCTCTTAGTTGTGACAACCAAAAATGTCTCCGGACACTGACAAATGTCTGCAGAGTTGAAAGCAAAATCACCCCTTGAGAATCACAGACCACAAGAGCAAGCAGGATTTTCAAGAAGCATGACAGTATACATTTCAGTATAATGTCTGTTTTACCTTAAGTATGATATTTTAAATAATTTTAAATCTTTATGACTCCTTAACTACATAATCCTTTCTGTTTAAAAGCTGTTAAAGGGCTCTTATCTAATGCAAGAAGTTCAAAGAGCAGAGATCATTCTCTCCTTCTGTCATGATCTGCCTCATCTTAGCTGCCCAGGGTTATCTCACATTCATGCCTGCCTCTGTCTCCCTCCTACACAAGCAGCATACTCAGCTTACGGGACACTTGCCCAAGGGGTGAACACGCTATGTGCACAGCAGTAAGTTGCTAGCCACAACTCGACCCACCGAATTCTGCACTTGGTCCATAACAATGTCACATGAAACTTAAGAAATATAAATTAGACAAACTCTGTCTTCAGAAACAAGACTAAATGAACACTCTCTGGGGAAAACACTTTGAATTAAGTCACCAGCTTCTAATATAAGTGACTTTCCAGGCTTCGTTTTTATTTTCTAGTTCCTAATGACTATTCATTTAAAAGGATGATGTTTTTTACCTTAACTAAGAACAGAAAAGAGTTATTTTTCTGAGAGCGTTGCCACCTCCGCTTTCCCTCATCCCCACTGGAAAGAACAGCAAAGACCACTGGTGATCTAAAGATCATGCCCTGGGAGTGCTCTACCAGAATTTCTTGGATCCAAGACTTCAGACTGTTACATACTTATCTGACTAAAATTGGACTCCACGAACCAGTTACTGCTACCCTTCTCTTCTTTCAAGATGTTATTTTCTCTTGGCTCTGAATTCAACTGGTCACTTCGATAGGAGGCATTGATAGTTATGACCTGGAGAGAAAGACACTTGTTGGAACACAATGACATGAATCCAGAAATGCTTTGAGTCACATTCACAGTAGCACCGTGGTGAAGATCAGTGGGTAGCCCTGGCTGCATGTTAGAATCACCTGGGAAGCTTTGACAATCCCACCACTCTGGCTGGCAGGGCACAGTATCCATGTGACCTCCCTTTTCTGTCATGACTAAGAACCAAGGTGTGGAAGAGTTCTCAAATTTGAGTGTGCAGCAGAATCACACAGGGCTGGGAAGATGTCTAAACCACAGACTACTGGGTCGCACCTCCAAGTTCTCTGAAGGGGAGGAAGAATGTGAGCCTCAAATAAGTTCCCAGGTGACACTTATGCTGTTGATAGGAGACCTTGTTTGGAGAAGCACTAGGATAGAGCAAATAAAGAAAGAAATAAATAAAAATAAGGTTTGGATCCAAAGAACCTGAGTTCCAGCTCTATCACTGAGAAGCTATGTGAACTTGGACAAATCACTAATGTCTTTGAGTTACTGCATTCTCTTCACTAAAATTACAGGTTGCCTATAATATAGCTACCCTATATATTTCCCAAGGACAGAACAAATGGGATAAATTGTAAAACTACAAAGCAATAAACAAATGCAAGCTTGAGTACTTGAGCTCAGTTCCAATTTCTGGTTGAATTCTGGCCATTTGAACTGTTCCCAAAATAAATTTAATTAAGTGCATATTTCATGGGACTCCAGCAACTCATGGCATTTTCTCTGAAAGAATAGCTTTCTTTATCAAGCTAAATGTATTCCCTCAAAGGTGGTTTTACATAATTGTCTCAGTACTTATCTCTTCACTTTGGCTCCTCGCTCTGAATAAAAAAAGACTGAGGTATTTTTTAAAAATGCAACCAGACTATAATTTGGAAAAATAAGTGTAAAATAGAAGAACAAAGCAGGGCATTAAAACCTGAAAGGTGAATTTTTTGCAGAATCGCTATTTCAGAACTATAGGAAACTTTATCACACTAAATGCCTACATGAGAAAAGAAGAAAGCCCCAAATCAATAACCAAAGCTTCTACTTTATCAAACTGGAAAGATAAGTGCAAATTAAACCCAAAGTAAGTAGAACAAAAGAAATAATAATGATCAGAGCAGAGGTCATTGAAACAGAAATTAGAGAAAAATCTATAAAAACAAGTGCTGGTTCTTTGAGAAAATCAATAAAACAATCGGGTAGCCAGACTGATCATTAAAGAGAGAGAAAAAGCACAAATTGAAATGCTAGGAATGAGGGGTGGAAAAAGGAGCAGTGGTAAAGTGCAACACTCTGAGGCAGAACACGGGAAGTTGCCAGTTCCCCTCTGGAGACCTCCTTGAATATGCTGGTCAGGTCTGTGACTGTGGTTTGGGCTGGCTGACTGGGGGTGGACTGTGCTGCAGGACTTTATCAGGGATGCTATCTTTCCCTCACTTTCTGTCTGTCTCTGTCTCTCTCTTTCTTCCAATTCTTTCTCATAGAAGCAATAACTAAATAAAAAAAATTTAAATAATAGGAATGGCAGTAGGAATGATGTCACTACAGATTCCATAGATAATAAAAGGATAGTAAGAGAATATTTATGGATATTATATCAGTAAATGCAAATTAAAACTACAATGAGATATCATTTAACACTCATTAAACTTGCTAGGATTAAAAAAAGAAAAAGAACAGTAAGTGTGGGCAAGGCTGTGAAGAAAAGGGAACTCTCTTACACTGTTGGTGTGAATGTAAATTAGTCCAGCCTCTCTGGAAAACAATACAGAGATTTCTCAAAAATCTATAAATAAAACTTCTATTCAACCCAGAAATTCTACTTCTTGATATCTACCCAAAGGATAAGAAAACATTTCATGGGGAAGGCATCTGCACATTCATGTTTTTTACAGCATTATTTATAATTGCTAAAACACAGAACCACTTAAGTGTCCAAAAACTGGTGACCGACTTGTGGCATATATATATGTTATGGAATTTTACACAGCTATAAGAAACAATGAGATCCTATCTTTCGACTCAGATGGGATGAATATAGATTTAATGTTGGGTGAAGTGAGCCAGACTTTAAAAGATACACATTGTATACTCCCTCTAAACTTGTATTGAGTGTCTGTACTTTATAGCAGAGGTCCAGAGACCTGAAGATGTGATGGTGGAGAGGATTGGTGTGGATGCTAGTGACAGTAAGGGGAGAAAATAATTGGTAGAGTGTGGGTGGTGAGTGGTAGGTGTGAGGCAGTAAAAGATAAATGATAAACTTTTGTTTACAAGAGAAAAACAAATCAAAATCTGTTTTTTGTACTGTCTAAAATATTTCCCAATAGTGTGCATTTGTTAATTGATCTGCCTCTTTGGCTCTTTGTCTGACAAATGTGCAAAATATTTATAATCTTTTCCAAAATTGTAGCATCGCAACTGAAATTTTTTTAATTTTTTTTTTTTTTTTGCTATAGGGCACATGCACTCGTCAGACAGACAGAGAGAGACAGAGAGATAGAAAGAGAGAAATCACCCCCCAAGGGGGATGGCCACGCCGCAATCCCTTCTCCTCCATTCTCCTCTCGGGATCTTGGGCATGTACGCACATGTGCCCGGCGTGAGTTTTAAGCCACCGGGTCCGGGACACCAACCGCGGTCGACTACATGGGAGTCCAGAGACATAGCCATTACGCTAACTTCTGGTCCCCACAACTGAAATTTATCAATGTTTTTTAAATGATCTGAATAAAGTTTTTGTTTTAAAAACATTAAAATTTTTACCTATCATCACATATAACAATTATCTCAATATGGATTCTATTCCTAAAAACTAAAATGATAAAACTCCTACAAGAAAACTTAAGAGAAAATTTTAATTATTTCGGGTTAAGCAAAAAATTTTTAAACATAATAGGAAAAACATAGACTATAAAAGTAAAGGTCAAGCATTTGACTTCATCAAGTTAAAAAATGTATGTGCTTCAAAGGATATTTATGAAAATCAAAAGGCAAACTATCAAATCAACTGAGAGAAAACACTGGCAAAAGTGTCTATCCAACAAAGGACTTGTTATCTAGAATACATAAAAAATCACAAATTCTCACAAGTTAACAATAGGACAATCATCTAATGTTAAGAAATAAGCAAAGGGGGTCAGTAGGTTGTGTGGTGGTAATGGCTGACTCAGTTGTTTGAGTCCCAGACCCAGCAGACTGAAAAACATGCCAGGCATGTGTGAGAGCATGTTTAAAATCCGAAAGGACAATGGAAGAGAAGGGAATGCAGTGTGGCCTTCCCCCTATGGGATGATTTCTTCCTCTCCCTTTCTCTCTCTCTCTCCTGCAGGCACATGCACCGGATGGAAAAAATATCTATTAAAAAAAATTAAATGAGCATGAGATTTGAATAGACATAAAACCAAGATAGACAGATTGCAAGCAAACCCATGAAAAGATGCCTAAGGTACAAGTCACTGTGGAAATACAAACAAAATCACCATGAGCAGCCTCTACACACCCACTAATAAGGATAAATTTTAAAAGACTGAGCATACTGAGAATTGAAGAGGATGTGGAACAGTTGAAATGCTTCTAATCTACTGGTGGGCAAGGAAATTGTTGCAATCACTTTGGAAAGTAGTTTAGAAGTTTCTTCAAAAATTAAACAAATACTTACCGTATGCTTCTAACATATCACTCCTAAGAATTTGTCAAAAAGAAACTAAAACATATTCACAAAATGTTTTGTACACAAATATTCATAACAGCTTTTTTGGAGGAGCCCAGAACTGAAGACAACGTAGACATCCTTTACAAAAGCAAATAAATAAATGGCGTTCACTCCCATGTCTTACAGCTGCCCTGCTTCCAGCACGACGCTACTTCAGGTACATGGCACTTTACACTGAAGAGAAGCCATGCTAAGACAGACCACTACTTCAGGTGCCCCAAACCTGAAAGACAGAATACAGCATACTCACCGGCACCTGTAGTTCTTGTGTTTTCTTCTTTTTCTTGGACAATCTCCCATCCTTGGTCAGCATTTTTGCTTTGATCCATGCCAACTGTCTTATCTCTGAGGGTTTTGAAAGATCTGTAAGGAAAATGCTTTACATGAGAAAATTGAAGACAATATGAAGGGGGGGGGATTATTTTGTGAAAAGGAATGAGAAAATTTGAATGCAGTCTTCAAGAGTCAAGAGTCATAGATGTTTTAAAACACGGTAACAATGTGGAGGACTTAGTACTGGTTTTTTATTGTTTTGCGTTTGCTCCTTACTTTTAATGTGATGAGTCTTCATCAATCTCTCCTCCTTGTGGAATTTAAAACTGTGACTCCTAATGAAGGGTCTGTCTTGGCGGAGAGGATTGATCCAAGAGGATGTGTGTGGTGGAAGCCATGGTCCCACCTCTGAGCAGTCACTACTCTGGGTCGATTTTGTTGAGCTGTCAGATAGAGATCTGCCCCGGATCTGCACCTGGCACGGTTCCTGCTTTGTGGAGTCACTGTTACAAAGAGAAGGCGAGCAGGTTTGCCACTTTTTCTTGATGCTAAACACACCAGTTTCATCACCTTCTGAAAACGCCCAGTTCACATATCCACCTCCAGTTTGCATGTTCTTGACTTGGGAAGGAAAGGAGGTCCCCATCGTGGGTGCGGAAGAACGTGAGGAAGTGAGCAGAACGTGCTCCACCTGGTCTTGCTTGTCTGGTCCCTGAGCCACTGGCTCGCACCACTCCTTGGGTTCAGCCGCGGGTGCCTGCTCTGAGACAAGTGGGATCTGCCAAGTGAGAGGGACAGGGATCTCACTCGGGGTGACCCGTTCGGCTGCCAGCACATCGGTGCCTACTTCCACAGATGGTCTAGACAGAGGCAAGATAGTTTCTGCAGAAAGAGGAACTTGCTTTGGATAAGAGGGGACCAAAAGAAACTGGCTGGACTTTGAGTGTGCTTCCCTGTCACAGGGCACCCCAGAATCAACCATATGTTCTGTTTCTTGTTCTTCCTGGTCATCTCTTACATTTGAAGCCTCTGTCCGAGAGTCTGAAAGCTCAAGAAGAGCCCCCCTCTGCACTGTTGAGGGACGCCGGCCTCTGGCCAGGCTCCGGAGGAAAGAAGCCGGCATGCTGTAATACTGATACTTCTGCTCGGAGGTCTCCGTGCCGCCTACGACTTCTGCACAGATGACGTTGCTCCAGCTGTGGGGAAGTGTTCTGTAAGTAGAACGCTTTCTTTTGGAGAGGAGAGCCTCATCCTCTTGCAAGGTGTCAACAGCAGAAAGCACCTTCAGTGTATCCACGGTCAGAGCAGAAAGGTCCTGCAGGTGTCCCACCTGGCTGTCCAACGACAGTAAGGAGTCCTTTATAAAAGACACTTTTTCATTTATTTCTTTCATTTGGAAGTACATCTCTGTAACCCTAATGATGAAAGGGAGGGGAAAACCAATAAGCATTAAGCCTGTAGAATATGCCTGCTCTGTTCCTATCCTATGTCCATCCCTCAGAGGCTCCTTGGTCCTGGCCACTTCCCAAAGTTAAATCCATCATTTGCTTCCTTCTCTCCTCAACTGAAACTCTCATCTCAGGTGATCTCACCCACGTCTATAATACCACTATGACCCCATTATAGTCTACATCTGTAACCTTTATTCCTAATATTTTAGAGCACATTTCCAGCTTCCTGTTAGTTATCCCTTCATTCATCTAATCAATTATCTCATTTTTATTCATTGATACTCTCATTCATTTACATGGCAAACACTAGAAAACCTATTGGCACACATCCTACTATTTTGATGGGAAAGAAAACCCTGAAGAAGAAACAAAATCACGATCAAACACTATACATACTGAAGAAAAAAAAATCTTAAAAAGAAAATAAACAAACCAAAACACCAACAAATTCCAACTCTACAGTTTGAATAGGCTACTCCAGTTTCAAACAACACCCATTTTTGAATACTGTGACCAAAGATTTTGCTATCCAGCCATTGCGTCAGATGAAAGAGACACATCTTTAGTAATACAAGCACCAAAGCAAATTGCAAGTACGCTGAATTAAACGTAACAAGTCACTTACATAGAGGGAGAAGGTGTTAGTATTTATCTACACACACCTCTGTAACTTCTGTCTGGGGATGAGTTTTGCTCAGTCCTCCCTTCACAAAAACACGTGCTGAAGTCTTAACATCGTACCCAGAATGTGTCCACACTGGGAAGCAGGGTCTTTACAGAGGTAATCAAATTAAGAGATCCTTAGGCTGGACCCTACTCCAACATGACTGGTGTCCTTTTTAGAAAGAAAATGTAAAAGACAGGCACAAAAGGAAGTCAAGGTGAATGAAGACGACGTGAAGGCACACAGGGAGAAGGGTCTCAAGGCTGCAGCATTGCATCAACTCAAAGAATGTCAAGAACCGTCGGCAAATATCAAAAGCTGAAAGTGGCAAGGGAGCACTTTTATCTAGAGCCATCAGCGAACACATGGCCCTGCCAACACCTTGATCTCATGCTCCTACTGGGTTGTCAGAAAAGTCATGACGCCTTTTCTTCATGTTTTTCTATGTAAAAATGCGTCATGACTGTCCAGATGACCCAATAGCTTCCACAAGTAGGAAGCAATAAAGTCTGTTGTTGTAAGACCCACTTTTGGTATTTTCCTACCATAGCCCTAAGAAACTAATATAGATAACTAAGTTTAACAATCGACAGAAAAAATTACAAAGTACATCATATTTGAGTACAGTTTTTTAAAAAAATAAGCTTGTACACAAAAATAGAATGTAAAATTTTAAAGCAAAAAAATTGAATAATTACTAGTCTAACAAAAATGATGACGCATTCATAGCTCTTAAGAAAAACCAAAAGGTTGTACATTTGTTGAAGAAAAAAAAAACAAAAACTCCAAAGGACATGAGTAGATTATTCAGAGGGATAGGTAAGTATTTGAGTGATTTTCATGCAAATGAATAGTAATGAGTAACAACGCAATTGTTATCATATACAAAAAGGAAGAGAACATGGTAAAATAGTCAACCCCACTAGGTAATTGGAGATGAAAATTAAGAACATAATGCATTTATCTACATTGCAACATTTGTTTCACCTAGCAAAGTTAAACAACTCCAAGGTGGTAAGAATATAATATTGGAATACAACATATATAAAAAGGCTGTCATTTCATTTTGCTAAAGCACACAGGTATTTATGACATTACAAAACAGATTTCTAAGCACTCTTTATTTATTTATTTACTTATTATTTATTTATTTATTTATTTGTGCTATTAAACCAAAGCCAGGAATACCTAATATTATTTCACAACTGCCACTATGTGCTTCTTCTCTGACACAATTGGCCCAGACCCAGGCTTGCTATGTTTATGACGATTCAGTTCCTTTCATCGACGAGCTTCTCTTCATGATGCGCTGTTCCTGAATCTGACTGTAGATCAATGTTGGTAGATGTCGGTGACCAGCAATACATTCTTTTGAGGATGATGTGGACATTTCTCCTTCAGCTTCTGGTTATAACCCTTGGCTGCTTTTTCCCGTGATGTAAGCACACCCAATTTTTCAGAAGCATTAGCTTTCCACAGACGAATGTTCATGTCATCTGGTCCACACAGAATATACTTGGCTGTCAGAAGTCATTTTACACAGATTACATGCTGCGGTCACTTTGTGTGATAGACTTCACTGCTTCAACTTTTGTCCAAAGGAAAGACACGAATAGATTTATCAAAACTAGCTGACACAAACTCTTTTCCAGTGGGAGAGTAAGCCACATCAAGTACTGCAGATACCTGATCCATATGGACCATTAAGGGTGTGTCCAGTGCACGCATATCAAAAGTATGTAAGTTGTCATCTTCATTTGCTGCAATAAAAATGAAAGCTTCCACAGGGTTCCAACAGATTGTATTTGTTCTCATATCTAAGATAACCTTTTTCAGAGTAGATTGCCTATCACACAGTACTATATTCCGGTCAGAAGCACAACTTCCCAAGAGAAACGTCTCAATTGGGTTAAATTTAGCATGACTTACACTGTCAAATTCCGAGGTCATTGAACATATTGGATTGTTTTTTATCCATCCCAAATGTCTACTTGCTGCCCACATGTGGCAAAAACAGCTTCTTTCCAGTGATGATCGATTCCAGTATACACTGTCTTTCCTAATATAGTATGCAAGGACTCTTCCTCTTCTCCATAGCCTGGTTCAGCCATTTTCCACTGCTTCACAGTTTTGTCATCCCCAACTGTAAAAAAAGAAGTTCCACAAAAGCGAGTACGTATTCCTCTCATAAACCCTTCATGTGCTTGAATTGTACGCATACATTTTCGTTTCGTCAAGTTCTGAATTCTAACCTCTCCATCACATGCACCAGAGAGGACAGCAGACAGGCTCTTTGGATGCTTTGCCAAGCAGTTGACTCCATCTCGGTGACCATCCAGGGAAGCAAGGGATGGTTTTGCAAACACCCGCTCCAGTTTGGTAGCATTTAAAACTCTTACATATCCTCGAGGGACCTCAAAAGGATTTAAGGTAGGATCATAGTTTCTTGGAACTCTTTTTAAGTCCAACTTGGTTTCACGGACATAGTTGTCCGGGTTCCGGCTCAACATTTTCACCTTCATTTTGGAGGATATCGTCCCGCCTCCCCGAGCTTTTCACTCCAGTTTCAGCAACCATGTTTTAAAAAGTCATATTATGGACAGTTTCTTTGGCTATTTCTGGTGCGAGAAGGGTTGTAGATGTCTGTCATGTTTTGCATTACATGTTTTAAAATTTGGTACAAACATTTTGTACCAAAAGAAATGAAAGTTTAAGTATATTTATACAGAATACGTAATTATTTGGAGAAAGTATTTTTGCTGTATAAGAGAGATAAAGAATACAACATTATATAATTTTAACTGAAAATAGAAGAGTAAATTTTAAAAGGACAAAATTTTCACAGGGAGTTCTGTCTTATGACATTGTTTTCTCTTTCTCTTCCTTCCCTGTTTTGTTTTTTCATTTGGGAAAGAGGGGATCTAGCTGCAATTTCTGAATGATGAAAATCTTGAATAAATGGGATTAAAGTAAAAAACAGCAAAAGAGGGAAAGAAATGATTAGAGTCATGGCTGTCGTGACCACCTGCAGAAATGAAAAGGATCCCCAGACTCATCTGAAAGAGGGAGAAGCAGAGATTCTCCCAGAACAGTTAACAGGCACCTGTAGCAAGTACTTCCAAGGTAGCACTAGATGCCCAGTCTCTAGAACACATCTCAAGTCATAGGGATGAAAGATCCTCTACCTCTTCGTTCTGGGATCTTTGTGAATAGGAATTAAAGAACAAAGAAGACAGTATTTTCTTTTTTTGTCATATTCTCTGTGGGTAGAACCCTCTCTTTCTTCCTTCCACTAGAATTCAACTTCGATAACTAAATGGAGGCTTAATAAAGGCTTCCTGACCTTCTGGAACCTGCAAAATTAGAACTGGCAAGGACAATGTGGGAAGGGCATAACATACATGTGTATTCTCTTCCAAGGACACTTAATTAGAGCCTCTCTGCTCAGCGCACTGTTTCTTCTAATTCAAAAACAGTACAGTCTGGACAGCGGTAATGGAGACTCATTAAGCCCCATTAGCAGCCGCCACATGGATGGATACAATGGAAACCGGCAGCTGTTCACACGACAGGTACCACGCTGTAACAGACCTGTCAATGAGCACCCTGGCCACCCTCAGTCAGGGCCTCGTGCTCTTAGAGGTACTTACTTTCTAAAGCTCAATGTCCCTATAAAAGATATTTTAATTATATTCCCAGACCATCAACTACACTAATTTAATCCAGCCTTTGAGTCATTCTGACACATAAAATAAACTCCTATCATTGTAGTTTCATCTGGGCAAGGAGTGAGGGTGGAGGAGAGACGAGTATGGTAATTGTTTTATTGTGAGCCTTGAAATGAGGGAATCAGTGTAATGGGAATCGTCATGATAATCATGACACTCACTGAGTGCTCACTGTGTACCAGGCAGTCCAGAGGTTCTGCACTGACTGTTTTATTGACCCCACACAACAATCTGCAGCGGCCGAACGAGGACCCCTTTCATGGAAAAGAGGTTGGGTCAGAGCCAGAGCCACATGGCTGGGCAGGGACGGAGCTGGGCATCGAACCCAGACAGACTGACTGTACTGAGTGACATTAACCACTGCACTCTGGCACCTCTCAGCAACTCATGTGGGATCTGGGCAAGTATCTTTTGTGGATTCGGCCATGCACGAATCATGAAGTGAACTACATCAGCATGGCCAGTGCTGGGGGTAGCACAGATGCTGCTCAGCAAGGCCTCCTGGTCGGACAACGACGAACTCGAATCCTGAGTCACAGTGCACACTGCGCTGAAGTGTTTGGGCTTTTATG